GTTCACTGTATATATTTAGATTACTTTTTTTATCAAAACAATTATTTTATAAATACTATTTTGTGTCGCATTTCTTCTTATTTTCATATTTTAAAACTTGTAGTTCTTTGTGAAACATTTTTTTCTAATTTGAAAAGTTTAAAAAATGCATCAAAAATAGCTCCAATCAAGAGAGCAAGTGATTATAAGAAAAAACTTTTGTAATTAAAACAAATGAATAAGTTGTACTTCGGTTTCAACATTAAAATTATTGAGGTTTGTATTGTTTCTGGTTACTATTATTGGCTAAAGTTTTTATTATGAAAGTATTTGTAGACTTGACGAAAATAGTTTTAGATGCAACAAAAGTAATTTTGGACAATACTGTATGTACAATAAAATAATTTTATTAGTGTCACATAATTTGATGCACTGCACAGTGGGCCAGAGTTTTTTTTTATTGGCCAAAAGTCCCAAAAAAGTCAAATCATTATTTTATATCATTATTGAAACAAAGGTGCTTTACTCCACTCAAAAATTTATTTAATAGTATTAAATAAATTTCCTTAAACAAATATCTTAACTTTAAATCGGTCTTTTTATAAAAGCAAAAAAAGTCGTTGATTTTGAACTGAAAAATATATCATAAAGAATACATGGTCGCAGCTGGTTTTTTTTTAAAACAATAACTGCCATTTAGTAAATGCAAAAATCAGAAAATCAAACGATCTTCGAGTGGCATTTAAAAAAAGGAAGATAAGGAAATTTAGAAAAACACCTTTAAAATACCAACAATTCTAAGACATATTATGAATAAATTGAATACAAATATATAACTAAAACATACTTTTTATAAGCACTAAGTTAATATGTTTATTTAAAATAAAAATAGTCCAAAGCTTTTTTAATTGAAAAAAGTTATGTAAATTTTGAGGATAAATATTTTTGAAAGAAAAAAAAAATTTGTGAAAATTTGACAATTTTAAAGCCATTATGAATGGTTCTAGCAAGCTTCCTTTATCTCTAGTAATTAAACGGATACATTTTTGAGTGGAGTAAAGCACCTTTGTTTCAATAATGAAATTAAAAAAAAGTTTAAAAAATTTGACTTTTTTAGGGCTTTTAACCACTGAAAAAAAATTCTGGCCCACTATGCACTATTTTAAACACTTGCTATACAGTATTTAACTTTGTGGTTAGCAGTAATTGCAATTCATTGCTAGACACCATTTTGATTAAACAATATTTAAAATTTTTTTTTGCCTCATGTAAGCTAAATTTAAACAAACAAATTTTTAATACTGTTTATTAAAAAAGATTTAATTTTTTTGTTTAAAATATAAAATTTAAATAGTTTTTTAAAATCTACTTGTATTCTTTGTTGTTGTTAGTCTTTTTACAGTTTTTTTAATGTTTTTCAATGTAATTCTTATACTGGTCATTTAAAGATATAGAGTTTATTTACAAATAATTACGTCCAAACATTTTAAAAATATTTTCAATTACAATGTTTTTACCCTAAAGATGCTCACAAAAACGTATCAATGATTACTTATTTTTATTATTGTGTAATTATGCAATGCTTATTAAAGTGATATTATATTTTAAATGCGCTAGATGTGTTTGTTTATGTAAATAAAATACAACTCAACCTAAAAAATATTAAATTTTACTGTTTAAAAAAAAAAAATACTTGTATATAATCTAAGCGTTTAGGCTCAAATAAAAATTGTTGCCTATTTGCGCACTGTGCCTGCGTAATTCATATTTTAGGCACATGAAAGTCTATTTTTTCTATATTGTTCAATATTTTATATTGTAAAACTAAGTCTCCGCGTATTCACATTTTTCGATTGCCATAATAGTTTTCATCGCTCGCTTCTATACTTTTTTAATTATAAAATTTTTTCAAAAGGTGACATCGCGCTTTTTAAAAAAGGTGAACATGATTGTACGGCAGAGTATAGATTTCAGAATACATCAAATTAGGCAGAATACATCGAATTAGGCAGAATACATCGAATTAGGCAGAGAGTTTGCCATAGTATGGAGTCGCGGCTGCATAAAGCATTTTTAGGCTGACCAAGCTTACTGTTTGCAGTTGAGTATTTAAAAAACTGGGCAGTACGTGATCACTTCACATATTGTGTCGTCACTCATTTGAATGCTTTACTGCAAAAAGTTATAGATGCACCTACAGTTAACTTCTTCAAAGACTCAATTGTTTACACCATTTGCTGCTTTCTTTGCAGCGCAAACTTGTTAGCAAAGAGAAAC